GGCCATATAGCGCGGTAGCTGCCCTCGCTGGATTAGAAATTCTATTTCCTTCTTCAATTGGATACAGTTGTCGGTGTGATATGGAAGTCACAATACTTCGTAGGATCTCTTTTTGCCGGATCTGCTATCATCCGGGGTGGCCACCTTAAGAATTTCTCATGTTGCACCTCATACAATATCTGAGACGCCGTAGCAGTCAGAGGAGTGAGCTGTCGGGGTGCATACCTTGGTTGTAGCTCTGGTTGTGGAGGGCCGAGGCCATCCCTGATGTTTTCTCTTCTATTTGGGGAACACTCTTTGTCTCTTCTTGGAGACCTGCCTCGTTCTCTTTTTTTTTTTTTTTCTGGGACTTCATTCTCCCTTCTTTTCTTCCTTCCCCTTCTCCTTTCTCGACAAAGAGCTCCCGACTTTGAAGAGGAGCGCTTCCTCACCATTTATGTACTTTTCTACTTAGGCAAGCACCTCCGCCATACTAGCCTGGGAGTTCTTTGAGATGAAAAACATCAGATCTTTTGACTGAACTCCCAAACCTGATATGAAGGCTGTAATAGCAAATTTTTCGTCTAGGACATCCACCTTCAAGGATTCTGAGTTGAACCGTTGGACATAAGACCGTAGGTTCTCATTAGGTCCCTGTTGAACCATGCTAAGGCTGAGCCTTTCAGGGTGATATCAAAGGCCCTGCATCTCACTGGATCTTGATATCCATGCAACTCCATTTGATTTTTGTAGGTGTTGAGGTGATCCACGGGATATTTTGTCCCATCGAAAGCATCCACCTGTGGCATTCTGAATTTATGTGGGAAAGGGAAGTGCAGCATCCCAGCAGTGAATGGGGATTCAGTTTGCTGCACTAAGACATCCATAGTGACTGGGGCCTTGCTCTTCACTGCCTCCTTCATCTAGCTAAGCTCTTATTGGATGTCTTTTAAACGTTGCTCCCAGTGATGTTCTCTTCTCTCCTGTTGATAAGGGAAGAAGTCGCTCCTCTCCCCTTCCTTAAATTGACTTTGCACTTCCTCGTTGTGACCATTCCTAGGAGGTAGGCGAGATTCTTGTCCCAAGGTCTGACTATTCTCTCCCACCTCATTAACTTCTCTGAGGGGGTCGAGATGCGGTTGCTCCCTTGGTGGTGGATTATTCTGGCCTCCTTGGGCCGGTCGCGCCTCCTGCGTTGTAGGAACTTTAAGAGCTCTTTGTTCTGTTTTATCAAACGTTCATTGACAAGACAAAGGGTCTCCATCTCATTATTCATGGGAAGGCTTCCCATGGGGGGATCTGCTTTTTGCGCATTTTCAGGTTGTCTGCTATTTGCGGTTTCCTGTTGATCTTGCATCCGTAGAGGATTGGTTTGACTTCGGCTCATGTTTCGTGTTGATACCATCAGTCACTAGAAAATTAGCTTTATTTGTAATAGGAACAGCGTTCCCACAGACGGCGTCAAGCTGATGGTGTAAACCGAATTGTATGAGTAATGAATCGTAATTATGCTTNGCGTTGATACCATCAGTCACTGGAAAATTAGCTTTATTTGTAACAGGAACAGTCGTTCCCACAGACGGCGCCAAACTGATGGTGTAAACCGAATTTTATGAGTAATGAATCTTAATTATGCTTTGCAGTGATGATGTTGTGATAATGAAAGAAATGTTTTTCTAGGGGTTGGGAGGATTAACATAGAAGAAGTATAGTGGTTCACCAGCTCGGGAACTCGACTAATCCACTCTTTAATGAAAACTCTTGCTCTTTGTCTTTTAATAATGATGATTGCAAGAATGCAATGACTAGTTTTTGCCTCTAGGGTCCTCTCTTNATTTAACTGGTATAAATGATAATATTGACAATCTAACAACCATGACATTCCTATCGGTATGACTTGTCTTTCTGGTTTGCTTGGACTAGTCAATTGACACATCTATAACTAGCTAACCTAAGAAGTTGCTGTGTTATGACTACTACCACCAGTTAACTTAAGAAGTAACTGTGTTATGGTTTATTATGTATGCACCTACTATTATGAAAACAAATGAATAATTCAAGTATTCCTCATGAATGACTTGTCCTTCTGATTTGCTTGGATTAATTAATTGTCATGGATACCACCAACTCACCTAAGAAGTTGTTGTGTGATGGTTTATATGCATCAGACCTACCAATTGAGTTGCCAGTAATATAAAAGTTAATTGATGTAAGATAACATTTCTAGTATTTAACCAATATAACGCATATGGAATCCTTGAAATGAAGGATACTTTTTATTATTGTCTCACTGTATCTGCACATAAACGTTTTACTTAGATTAGTTATCAATCTAAGCTCACATCACAAGCTATCACATGTTGTTCTATTCGAATTAGCAACTTAACTATTTTATTTCGTTTCCAAATTATTAAAACTCTTTGTGGGATCAATACTTGGACTTAAAACCGAGAAAACTACAATTTGACCACTTATACTTGGGTGTATAATATTAATCCGATCATTAAAAAAGTGCAAATCATACACCATTAAATTTTTTTGTATTGATTATTTTATCTTACCTTTTAAATTGATTATATTTTTTTTTGTAGATGGATTCACAATACGACGGTTCTTTCACTGATTTGCTTATAAACGACAACGATATATATGATAAAGTTATACAGACCAATCCCACAGTATTGGCGCCAGTACAAAGTGAAGCCGATCGAAGAGTGAAAAAATTGCAAATGACAAAGAACTTCTCTGTAGAAGAAGATAAATTAATTGTGTCTGCGTAACTTAACACACGTAAAGATGCAATTGCTGGGAGTGAACAACAAGGTGATGCTTTCTGGCATAAAATATTGAAATACGTAAAACTTCATCGAGACAATCAAGAAGAGCGTTCGCAAGCTTTTATTAAAAGCCATTAGACAGATATAAATGCAAAATGTAGCAAATTTGTCAGTTTTTATAGTTAAATTGAAAGACTATGATCAAGTAGACACACCGAGCAAGATAATGTAATTATTAAGTTTTTTTAGATAGACATTACTATGATTTGATATTTGAACTATTGATTGAATAATTTCATATGTTTTTTGTCATACTAGCCTGGGGGTTCTTTGAGATGAAAAACATCAGATCTTTTGACTGAACTCCCAAACCTGATATGAAGGCTGTAATAGCAAATTTTTCGTCTAGGACATCCACCTTCAAGGATTTTGAGTTGAACCGTTGGACATAAGACCGTAGGTTCTCATCAGGTCCCTGTTGAACCATGCTAAGGCTAAGCCTTTCAGGGTGATATCAAAGGCCCTGCATCTCACTGGATCTTGATATCCATGCAACTCCATTTGATTTTTGTAGGTGTTGAGGTGATCCACAGGATATTTTGTCCCATTGAAAGCATCCACCTGCGGCATTCTGAATTTATATGGGAGAGGGAAGTGCAGCATCCCAGCAGTGAATGGGGATTCGGTTTGCTGCACTAAGACATCCATAGTGACTGGGGCCTTACTCTTCACTGCCTCCTTCATCTAGCTGAGCTCTTATTGGATGTCTTTTAAACGTTGCTCCTAGTGATGTTCTCTTCTCTCCTGTTGATAAGGGAAGAAGTCGCTCCTCTCCCCTTCCTTAAATTGACTTTGCACTTCCTCGTTGTGACCATTCCTAGGAGGTAGGCGAGATTCTTGTCCCAAGGTCTGACTATTCTCTCCCACCTCATTAACTTCTCTAAGGGGGTTGAGATGTGGTTGCTCCCTTGGTGGTGGATTATTCTGGCCTCCTTGGGCCGGTCGCGCCTCCTGCATTGTAGGAACTTTAAGAGCTCTTTGTTCTGTTTTATCAAACGTTCATTGACAAGACGAAGGGTCTCCATCTCATTATTCATGGGAAGGCTTCCCATGGGGGGATCTGCTTTTTGCGCATTTTCAGGTTGTCTGCTATTTGCGGTTTTCTGTTGATCTTGCATCCGTAGAGGATTGGTTTGACTTCGGCTCATGTTTCGCGTTGATACCATCAGTCACTGGAAAATTAGCTTTATTTGTAACAGGAACAGTCGTTCCCACAGACGGCGCCAAACTGATGGTGTAAACCGAATTTTATGAGTAATGAATCTTAATTATGCTTTGCAGTGATGATGTTGTGATAATGAAAGAAATGTTTTTCTACGGGTTGGGAGGATTAACATAGAAGAAGTATAGTGGTTCACCAGCTCGGGAGCTCGACTAATCCACTCTTTAATGAAAGCTCTTGCTCCTTGTCTTTTAATAATGATGATTGCAAGAATACAATGACTAGTTTTTGCCTCTAGGGTCCTCTCTTTTCTTTGGGGGCGTTACATAGTATTTATAGGACTGTTTCCTATTCAGTAGGATCTTGGCCGAGATTCTTGCCCTTATTTCGTAGGGTTCTCCTTAATTCTAGGAGAAGATTTTGGTTGGTTGAAATTAGGTGCCTTGATTATAGCTTCCTAACGCTTTAAGAACTTCTCGTGGTTATCTAGCCGTTGTCTTGCCTCAAGAGATATTTAGCCCTTGCCTTCTGACCTCAGTTAATATGGCTGGCCTTCCGGTCTGAGCTAAATTTTTGAGCTAATACTTGAGATTTACTTTAGGCATCATCATAAACAAACTTTTATTCCACAATAAGAAAAATTACTATAAATTTATATTTTCTTTAGATCAAGAGAAGCAGAACATACACTTGAAACGAAACACATAGAAGTAGATCCATCAACTAGGGTTACATACTTATTAGGAGGGGAATTACATGTCTACCTAAAAAATCTCTCACTGGATCGCAAGTCCTTGTTGAAATTGCAACCTTCGAACATGTCTTTCTCCATACCCTCAATGCCTTCGAAAGAGAATTGCCAAAAGAAAGAGGCCCAAGCAAAAAGTACCATTTTATAAGAGGCTTGTAAAATAGTGTTTTTGCACCACAATTTCTATATTTTGTATAAGTACACACTGCTGTACAACATCAGAAGAGAAACTATAGATAACTCTATTTAGTATATATGCTTCAATAAAGTTCTACGGATTGTGACCTAGCTGAAGCTCCAAATTCAATTCATCTTCTGCACTTCCACCTCGTACCTTATTCTCCATATCTTGTGCATATGCTGAACCAAACCTCAAGCTCAAGCTCATGCTACAATCCTCTCCAAATGGTAAGCGCTGTGGGCCGCAATCATGAAAATTACTACAATGGTTTTCAAACAAGGTCGTTGTATTTGATGTAGATGCTGGGAAATATGTTCGATAATTCATCAGTGATTCCTGAGCTGCCGAATGAAGAGGAGGGTAGCTTGAAATTGACTGGTAGAACAAAGGACTTGTGTAATTCTCTTCATGTCCCTTTAATTTGATTGAAGTAGGCCTGTTCTTTGCTCTATTTTTTCTATGGATATTCATATGGCCACCTAAGGCCTGTGCTGTTGTGAAACCTCTCTTGCAAAACACACACTCGTAGGATCGGCCTGCACCTCCATCGTTGTTTTCTTGCTCTGGCTGATCAACTTCTTCGCTTGAGTTTATTGAATCTTCCTTATGATTGGACTCCATACCTGTAGTGACTGTACCTGAGGCGAAACTTCCGATTGACAGTTATGTTTTAAGATAGAAACCTGTTACAGAAAGGGAGATGAGAAGAGGGTGTGAGGCAAGAGAGAACTAAAAGGGCAAAGCCGATGCCATTGTGAACTCATGAGGGAAGGTGTGAGAAGGGAGACAGCTCAGACAATGTGTTAAGACTTTATAGACTCATTCCATTAGCCGGCTCTTGTGGATCCCTCTTTATCAAACGCATAAAATAATACCTTATTTTCCTACTAATTTGTCTCTCGTCAGATCATATGTAGTTTTCATTGAGGTTTTGTTAACATGGCCCTGGATTTGTCTCCCCTCCTGCTTGTTTGTCTATTAATATATGTTTTTGTGTTAGGTCACCCATGCCAGGCAAATCTTTTGTTACTTGGCTCCTCTCATGGCAATCTGACCGCCAATCACTGCATGTCACGTTCTTTTTGGCTCCCTTATGGCTGCGAAAAGGGTCTTAACGCGTTTCAATTTTATACAATTTTCAATATTTTGACTAAGATCAACCATATTACACGTTTTACAATTTTTAAATTTTATCAGCACTTGATAGAGAAATATCCTAAGGTACACATTGAATGTAGAACCATATGTCTGTAGAGTGATCACGACTCGCCTATTTCAAATGCAAAGGCTTAGTATATATAATTAACTTGAAAACAAAACGGTTGCATATATGAATCATATATTGCATCTACAACCAGGGGATACCTAATTACCACTATGGAGAAAGATAGGAACTTTCCTACAGAGATGGAAAATTATCAGAAATATTTTCGAATTTTGCAGCTTATACTTGTCTTTAAGTAAACCTAACCTTTTGTTTGCATCCGGTCTAATGGTTAGACATATCACAATCCNTTTCCTTGGGGGCGTTACATAGTATTTATAGGGCTGTTTCCTATTCAGTGGGATCTTGGCCGAGATTCTTGTCCTTATTTCATAGGGTTCTCCTTAATTCTAGGAGAAGATTTTGGTTGGTTGAGATTATGTGCCTTGATTATAGCTTCCTAACGCTTTAGGAACCTCTCGTGGTTATCTAGCCGTTGCCTTACCTCAAGAGATATTCAGCCCTTGCCTTCTGACCTCAGTTAATATGGCTGGCCTTCCGGTCTGAGCTAAATTTTTGAGCTAATACTTGAGATTTACTTTAGGCATCATCATAAACAAACTTTTATTCCACAATAAGAAAAATTACTATAAATTTATATTTTCTTTAGATCAAGAGAAGCAGAACATACACTTGAAACGAAACACATAGAAGTAGATCCATCAACTAGGGTTACATACTTATTAGGAGGGGAATTACATGTCTACCTAAAAAATCTCTCACTGGATCGCAAGTCCTTGTTGAAATTGCAACCTTCGAACATGTCTTTCTCCATACCCTCAATGCCTTTGAAAGAGAATTGCCAAAAGAAAGAGGCCCAAGCAAAAAGTACCATTTTATAAGAGGCTTGTAAAATAGTGTTTTTGCACCACAATTTCTATATTTTGTATAAGTACACACTGCTGTACAACATCAGAAGAGAAACTATAGATAACTCTATTTAGTATATATGCTTCAATAAAGTTCTACGGATTGTGACCTAGCTGAAGCTCCAAATTCAATTCATCTTCTGCACTTCCACCTCGTACCTTATTCTCCATATCTTCTGCATATGCTGAACCAAACCTCAAGCTCAAGCTCATGCGACAATCCTCTCCAAATGGTAAGTGNGCAAATCTTTTGTTACTTGGCTCCTCTCATGGCAATCTGACCGCCAATCACTGCATGTCACGTTCTTTTTGGCTCCCTTATGGCTGCGAAAAGGGTCTTAACGCGTTTCAATTTTATACAATTTTCAATATTTTGACTAAGATCAACCATATTACACGTTTTACAATTTTTAAATTTTATCAGCACTTGATAGAGAAATATCCTAAGGTACACATTGAATGTAGAACCATATGTCTGTAGAGTGATCACGACTCGCCTATTTCAAATGCAAAGGCTTAGTATATATAATTAACTTGAAAACAAAACGGTTGCATATATGAATCATATATTGCATCTACAACCAGGGGATACCTAATTACCACTATGGAGAAAGATAGGAACTTTCCTACAGAGATGGAAAATTATCAGAAATATTTTCGAATTTTGCAGCTTATACTTGTCTTTAAGTAAACCTAACCTTTTGTTTGCATCCGGTCTAATGGTTAGACATATCACAATCCGCATGCTGAAAATATCATCATCATACCTAGGTGTCACAAAAAATAAATAATGAATTTAATTCACTTGAAAAATACTATTATCCAGCCCGATGGCTTAAGAGAAGTAAAATATAACAACCAACTCTTATCTTCTTATGTGTATGATACAGAAAGCTATGATCTCAGATGCATCAAAATCAATTTCCATGTCGCAATCTCACTGGCAATAAAGAATATATGAAGAGAAAGTGTGTATCTATTAATCATACAGTATCGATGGCTTTGCTGTATGTGAAACGTTGAATGTGTGGGATCAAACGGTTGATGAGATAATCCTTTTCACCCTCTCTTGGCTGTTGCTTAGCAACATCATCTGTGGAAGATGAAGAAATTGTATTTTAGAGGTAGGTGATAACAAGCAATATCAGGCTTACGCATTCCAGGCCATTGCACTTGGAACCCTGAAATATACAATTTCATGGTACAATATATAGGGAGGGGCATGCACTATTGGAAGGGTCTTCCATCCATTTATCAAGCTCTTAGGTCTTAGCTTCAAATCCATAACTCTCTCTCTCTCTCTTTCTTGCAGGCCAAGTTTATTTGTCATTTCACAAGCACTAAAGCAGCAGGCTATTGACTCTATACACAGAATTTCAAAGAGGAAAAAAAAAACTACATTTTATTTCCAATTTCAGCACACTACCTTTTGAATCTAAACCTAGATGCAAGAGTGTAGCTTGAACAGCAAAAAGTGCTCCAAAACATGCTCTCTGGCTATCAGTAGCAGGGAATTAAGAACATACAATTGCGGCCAGCTGAAATTTGTTAGTGTAGTGCCAGTGTAGGGAAAAAGATGATAATGCTAAAAATGTGGGCTTTGTAACGATATTTTTCAAATAACATGGAGAGTTGGAGACCCAATTGGAGCGTTTAGAGAGAGAGAGGAAGAGAGAGGTGTTTTATGGTTTTTCTTTCTTCACAATTTGACCTTTTACTTAAATGAAGTGAGGTCAAACTAGTCATTCTACTAATTCTAGTAAAGCCTGCCAATTCTTTACATTTGATTGAAGGGGTGTGATTTGGGTGGGTTGGGCGAATTAAAGGGTCAATTGAAGATATGAAACTTTATATCCGACCAACTCAACTTGACTTCAACTCGAGTAATTCTAGCCAGAGGCCGATCATGATTAAATTTTTGAACTCATGTTGAGCTCGCATTACACAATTCTGGTTAAACTTGGATTGAATCGAGTTTTTTATTATTAAATAAGGTTCAATTTTATGTTAAACGCACCGTAACATTATATGTGTGTAATTTTATTTTATTTTATTTTTTTGAAGTTTCGAGTTGAATCCGATTTCATAAATTTAGATTCAATTCGAGTTGAATTTGTCAATCCAAAGTCTTAATCCGAGTATTGCCCGAATTCAATTAAGATTAAAAAACATTATGGGTTAGGCTTGGTTTAAGTTTGGGCACAGGATCACCACTCCAATATTTAAAAACATTAAAAGGTGATTAAGTGACTGCTAATACATACACCCATTTATTACAGAGTATCAACATAATATGTCCATTACTTGACGATTTTATAATATTATTCCAAAACCGTGGGGGGCGACAAAAAGGGTGAAATCGAAGCAATTGAAAAGAAATAAGAAGAGAAGATCAAAAAATTATCTTAATGTGATTCGTTATTGGGATTATTTTGTCTGGAAGTAGGCCTTAATGCTTTATGATGTAAGAAAAAGGTACTAAAGTGTAATTATACAATCTCATATTCGGTTTGGACAAAGTCTATGTGAATTAAGAATTGTATGAAGAATGGTTTGGCCGTTTGGTTAAGGACAATCAAAAGATTAAACATCTACGATAACAACGGGTCTGCTTCAACTACTACCCCCTTATACCAAATCACAATGGTTTTGTGTCTAAGATTGATGGTGCAAGAAAACAGTGAGTGAAAGGGGGTTTGTGTATTGGATATAGTTGTATGTGCGTGTCACTTGTGAAATCAACCATAGGATAAAAAAAATAGATAACAGTGTGAGTGATTCATCAAACTGAATAACTAGGTTAGTCTGATGTCAAGAAATTACTTGCTCTTGTGTTTGTTGTATTGTTTTTAGGAGAAAGAGGAGGGTAATTACAAAGAGTTGGGATCGATCCCCTTTCTGTAAGATAGATTGCTGTCTTCTTTCTTGAGGGTTTGATCACTTCGATCTGTTAGAATCATTAAAGAATATTTAGTCATTACAGACAATCATATCTACAGGACACGTGAGCTTCTAGAAGCAATGGGGTGGCATACTTGAGACGATACCTTGCTACCCAAGACATGATTACTTGGTGATCTGGAATTGGTTAGTTGGCGCTGGAAGGACCAAGTCAGGTCCATGTGGTTAAGGCCCATATCGATAGGCCTTAGTGAAATGGGATCAAGCATAATTTATATTATCATCAAAGATAAAAATAGTTAAAGATTTCTTTCTTTCTTTCTTTCTTTTTCTCACTCGCCAAAAAACTTTTATTGGAACAAAATCTTTGATCAGACCCAAAAACAAACAAAGCCTCAGTTAGAATTTCAGTTGGACCAAAGCCCACTTTCTTGAAAAACCTAGTCCATCACTATTGTCCGTAGGAGTCTTCGTCCTAGATGAGGGAATCTATAGGGACATAGTCATCAGGGACACATTTTCAGTCTCACAAGATCATCTCGCCCATTACGAGAAAGGGCGAGCTTAAAAGAATCACCCCGTTATCA